ACCTCCTCCGTTGTTGGTTGAGAGAGATGATGAGGCCTAAAGGCAATCTATTGTTGTGCTTTGCTTGCCAGTTCGTTTTGCCGTATCAGTTCCTTGCTTTCCTTCCCCAGTTTCAGTTCAGTTTCCAAAGCCTTAGGTCTGTTTCATGGTACTACTTCACCTCGATTAGCGGATTTTAAGCGGCCCTTTTATTTGATGCCATACTTCCTTCACTAATGCACGTATTGGCTCCTCTACCCTTGTCCTTTCTTTGCTCTGCCTTATTCTTCACCCAGCTTGAAGGAAAAACGCCAACATGCATTCATTCAATGCAATTGCACCCGAAGAGGCTCCTTCTCAATCCCATTCGTACCACGTTACTTCTTTTACTTATGGCTCATGTCTTCGGAGGCTAATGTGGTGATCGCGTAATATGACATAGATCGAGAACGTTTAAATGCTTCTTTGGAAAGAACTCCTTGCCAATGGCTCGCTTCGAAGGACAGAACTCTATATTTTTGTACACAATTCTCAGTCAACATCAATCTCGAAAGACCGCCGTCCACTTCTTCCCTGTTCCCGCTCTAGGCCCACCACCCCCGTCGACGAAGAAGGGAAAGGAGAACTGAGCCCCCAACCCCAGCCCTTTTCCAGCTCCGTTCCCCCCCCTCTTCCTGTAAGACGGAAACCCTCTTTCTGAAACCAAAGTCTGCTCCGAGGAACTATCCCGATACAAGAGAGGCATTCCTATCGATTCAACTTACTCCAATCAGGCTTTGGAACGACTACTTTGAATTCACCTAGGCGATGTCCTTTTAACCGATCTTGCCCATTCCCGGCAACAAAAGATAGTTCCCTTCCGATGCGTTACTTAGGTCCGGGGTAAACGATTCCCCGGGGGAATTGGTATTCTCTTTCCTAGGGTAACGAGAGAATAGGCTGCATTAGTCTTTTCCAAAAAAAGTGGCTAGCATGCTAGAAATGTAGCTATGCCTGTCTAGTCTTACTTCTATGAGTAAAGCCGGGAGCTGTAAGTTTACTCCCAAACTAAGCATACCGCCAGTTCGAGTTACCATTGTTGATCCATGCAAGTTCTGAGCTAGCAGAAAGTCAAACTAAAAAGGTGTTACACAGTCCCACCTCTTGGATATACGATCGGATTATAATTGAAGTGGTCCGAACAGCTACTCCTGTCGCCATATTTCAAACCCACCAATAGCATGGAGAGGCACCACCATTCGCTTAGCTATCCACTTCCAGAGCAGATGGAAATTAAATTAAGGGCGGCCCTACTATAAATATATCTAATAGCCCTATTGATTTACTATCCCTCTTCCGGATCAGATCAAGAAAGCAAAAGAAAAGAGGAAGCTCATAATAGGTTTCTTCCCGCTTTTCGCTTTAAAGGGGTAGGGAAGTGCTAGATGATGATGAAAGGTCTGCCTCAACAGATGAATCCTTACTGCAGCGATCTGAGGAAGGAATCGGGAGGTGGGAGGTCATTGCCAGCCGTCTTGTATCCTGGTCATGAAGATCCCCAAAAAAGCAAGCAGCATTCTTCCTCGGTAAGCCCGGGGGATGCCTCCTACCTTTCCTTTTGACCCCGCGCATGAGCAAGCAGCAGGAAGAAGCAAGCATCAATCAATCAATTCGATTTCTTTCATTTTTAAGTACACAAACGCTTAAAACGCTCCTTGGGATTCTATATAAACAGTGAGAACCCCATTTCACTAATCGCCAGGGGAGGACATAAGTTCTCCAATTCGCATGTCTTACTAAAAATCGATAATAGCGTTGTAGAGAGGGGAAATTGCATGATATGACCAAACGAGAGAAAGGCCTTTTGAAAGCCCCTTGTGGGATTGGAAGGGTAAGGCCCGTTGAAGCTACCCGGACAAATTTCTTTTTCTGAAAAGAGCATTAGCCTGGCTAAGTTCCTCTTTTTATAATGTGTGAGGGGCCGAGCGGTTACCTCTGTCATAGGCCGCGGCAGGTTTTCGCATTCAAGGGACTCTCGAAAAACGAATTGGGACTGAGGACTTTTTCTCGAAACATCAATAGCGCTCGTGGCTGTTGGTTGGTCATCTCTCGTTCGGGGCACCAACTCTCGCTGGACAGACGTTGAAGGATACACAAGACGCTTTGAAGCGAGAGGCTTGATTGATTAGGAACAATTTAAGCAATGAATAGGTATAAACTAAATTTTTGATCGAAGCCCACTTTCTTTCCAATTCCCACTTTTGCCTTACTTGAGATGAAGCTGAATGAACTATGAACTAGAACTGGGAAAGGGATTAATCTAAGAAGATTCATGAAACCGTTACAAATGGAATAAGCTACTAGAACTTCTGTCCAAAAGAAAAAGAAAAATGGAATCATACCTTAGTTCAGATCCATTTCATTTCTATTTCTTTTCAAGTCCCAACAGCTCGAAATGTTCCTATTCCTTCGACACCCTTTTCATGGAAACCGGGAATTTTTTTCACAAAATGCTTATTCCGCATCAACCTAAGCCCGCTCTCGCTTATGATCTCCCGAAGAAGATAGGATTAGGAAGTCCCACCCCTAGCTCTTGAAGTTGTGAAAGCCCGATTTTTTCGCTAAAAGAAGGAAGCAGGAGGGGACTTGAAGCCTCGGCGCCTGAGAGGGACTCTGCCTTAGCGTTACGACTATGCGGTCTTACGCAAGGTTAACGATTGAATGATACCTAGCTAACAACTTTCTAGTGAGTGAAACCTTAGTAAAGGTGCACGAACGGGTATCTCTTCAATAAGCTGAAATATTAGCTAGTGCTCTACGGGTGATCGAAGCGTTTAATTATACCGGTATTCTCTGTTGAGTTTTGTCTTTCGAATTAAGCTTACAATTCGAATCAGTGAGAAGCTTGTAAGTCTGCCTTAAAGCTATAGGTTCCCTAGAAAGATGAGGTGCACGCTAACCACATACATATATATAGATGGTAAACGGTTAGTTTGAGGCCCCGTTGTAGCGTCAGTGATACGGCTTTTCTGTCGACCATTGGACCAAGATTCGGATCTGGCTATTTGTCTTCGTGGGTCAGCTACACGCTTCCTTCCTTAAAAATGAAATAGTTGATCACAGCAAGAAAGAAAAATATGCAACGATAGATGAACTAAGAAACCTTGCTTAGTTGCATTCCAATATAGCAGTCA